TCACTGACATTTAGTACATAAAGAAAGTTAATAAAGTTGCATATTTTTCGATGCAAAAATAATTTTTAGCTTCAACAGTGGCGTGCGTACGGGTATTGACTTCAATATTTTTTAAGAAAAAATGGTACACTAATGGTATTTGCCAAATAAAAATTATTATAATTGAAGAATGCAATTTAGCAATAAATATCAAGTTGCTCTGGAATATGTCACTGGCTTTTGACATCTGACAAGACTCTGTTATTCAAATCTGTTCGCTGTAACATCTTTTCATTATTTAGTTTTTACATTCGTGAATTATTCAAATGCAGAAATGGCGGAAATGCATTACGTATATGGCCTTGCCGACGGTAATGGTGAGCAAGCCAGACGGATTTATCACCAGAGATATCCCGATCGTGCTTTACCAGATAGTCGAACCTTTTCTAATATTCATCGTCGTCTTGTTGAAACAGGTTCTGTCCGAAAAGGAACATCTGAAGGTAGACCTCTAAGTGTGAGAACACCTGAAATTGAGGAAGCAGTGCTGCACGAAGTCGAAAAACATCCTGAAATGAGTACAAGGAAGACCACTTAAATATTTGCCATCAAATTGTTTGGAGAATTTTAATGGACTTTTTGTTATATCCTTACCATATTTTAAGAGTACAGGCATTACTTCCCATTGATTTTCCAAGGCGTGTGACCTTTTGTCAGTGGTACCTTCAAAAAATTACACAAAATCCGCAATCCGTTCACGGACGAAGCTAATTTTTCTCGAAATGCCATTCCGAATTTCCCCAATAATCATTTGTGGGCAGGAGAAGATCCCTATGCCGTAACCGAAACCCATTTCCAACACCAATTTGCGGTTAGCGTATGGTATGGGCAGGAATTATTGGCAACCACTGGCCCATTCTTCTCGCCGGGACAACTTGACGGACAGACTTGCCTCAATTTTCTCGAACAACAGTTGCCTTTGCTGCTTGATGATGTTCCCTTAGTAATAAGAAACAATATGTGGTACATGCATGATGGTGCACCAGCGCATTTCAGTGTAGCGGTTCGTAATTATTTACAAACTGTTTATTCAAATCGTAGGATTGGCCGCGGTGGGCCCCAAGAATGGCCACCAAGGTCCCCAGACCTCATCAGTCTAGATTTATTTTTGTGGGGCAATCTTAAGACACTAGTGTAGAGAGAATAGTCGCAGCCTGTGATAGAATAAAATATACTCCAGGGATATTTCAACGAGTACGAAATTCCATGAGAAGGAGGGTGGTAGCATGCATACTAAGTGAAGGGCAACATTTTTAACAATGTTCATGATCCCTAATGCGTTTAATTTTTCCAATTAAATTAATAACAATTTTGCAAGTTAGACAATAGAACGGTTTTTATTTTTTTACTCAAAAATGGCGCATCGAAGGAAAACAATTCAGAAAAAATCATTTGTTCTAAATTGAACGGGGAATCCAAAAATAATTTTTAATTAGCAAAAAACCATTGGCGTATCGTTTTTTTCTTAAAAAATCGGGAAGTCAATACCCGCACGCACGCCACTGTTGAAGGTAAAAATCATTTTTGCATTGAAAAATATGCAACTTCATTAACTTCCATTACGTACTAAATATCAGTGAAATATCTGAAGCGGTTCAGAAAATACTAATTAGTTTCCATTTTTTTCCTAAAACTTCAACACCCCGAGTGTTTGTAAGGAAACATTTTTGATAGTTTATAAAGCAAACTAACGTTAATTTTTCATGTAGATTCATACCCTCAAATATTCGCATATTATTAAGGAAAGCCCTGTATATGAATTTCTGTTATGATGATACTATATATGCCTTTCTAAGATACCAGCCACTAAAGGACATCGGAGGACGTTAAATCTATTAATAGATTACCAAAACCACTTACCAACTACCTACATACGTGGGGAAGAAACATATTATTTCTAAACTAGTTGAATTTCAGTCTGTAGGAAAACTAAAAGCATCCACTTGGTACCCTTACGTTTTACGCTGTTTTGATAACCTACTATTCGATTTAACGCCCTCGTACCCACTTCCCCCTGCCCCGCTGTTTCCACCCTTCACCTTCAAGTGCTACGCGGAATAAAAATACGTCGAACGAACGCTGGGCTGCCGTCTCTACCCCTAATGAAATTACCCTGTCCCCAGAATGGCGCTTTACCTTCTAAATAATTAAAACAAAAAACGGGGGCAATACCGCTTTTGCTGGCTGCTACCCTCATCGCGTATGCTACGATTCAGAAATGAAAACCGCTGAAAGTAGCTGACGATACGCCAAACATTACAAAAAAAAGTGAAAAGACTCGACATTACGTTGCTCCGAGACTAGATTTGTTAAAAAAAACTCATAAAATAATATACAAAAAATTGAATATCCCTGAAAAATATTTTATTATTTTTGTTTATCCTTAAATGCACCAAATTTTAGGTGATAGAAAACAATGATCTAGTTATATACCGGCATGGGTATTACATAGACATTTCTTCAGTTTTTTTTATATTTCGTAGGTTTTTTTTGTGAGATAACGTAGGTTTTTCTACAGGATGTTAACCTAGCACAAACTGTTGAATACTTGTTGTAAACTCGTTTTGTAGCTGTACGTGTTGCTTAAACGTCAGCACACTAAAAACTACCTAATCTGCAAGATGACTTTTCGCCGGTTACGTTTTTTAGGTTTTTTTACATAGTCTCCCTGCCGAAATGTCATCTTGCAGTTTTGGAAGTTTTTAGTGTGTAAATAGTTAATTCCACGCTATAGTCGCTGTTCGCTCACGTCGTACAGCTACAAAACGAGTTCACAAGTGTACAACAGCTTGTGCTAAGTTAACATTTTGTAGAAAAACCTACGTTATGTCATAAAAAACGAAAGAAATGTCAAAAAAAAAAACGACAGAATGTCTCTTTTCACGATACGTAATACCCGTGCCGGTAACGTTTTCCCTAAGTTTGTACAGAAATTCACCATAACTTGGTAACAAAAGAGTATCGGATGACAAAATTTGATATTTTTTAAATAATTAACAAACATATATTTATTCATGTTCCATTGTTCCCCACTCACCCTTCAGATCGCCTTGCGGTTTTTCAACTGCAACTGGACTGCTAACCAGAAGCTCTCAAAAAACTTTTTCAATGTCAAGTTTGTCCTAAAGCGGTGGTTTATTTCAGTTAGAAGATCATGTATGGGATAGCTATAAGGTTGTGATTAAACCGCAATACCTAACCTAATGTGCTTGACAGTGACAGTGAAGTTGTCATAGATTAGAGAGGCACAAATACCGAACATCACGAAACGTGTATAACACGATCATTCAGGCGCAAATGCAGCGCTCCCGTATCAACAGTTTATGGATTGTTATCCAGAACTTGGAAAACGAATTGACTTGCAACTGATAGAACTGACAACCTCAGTTAACTAGCGGTTGAAAAACCGGGCCTAACCATCGCCATTTCGTCATTTGCTTAGGGAAAGCTTAGACGGAATTACTATAAAATAGATATGAAATATAGTCGAAAATATATAAAATATAAAAAACATATATACTTGTGACTCTGAAGTTGAGTCATTAATTTTCAGATAATAATAATAATAATAATAATAATAATAAATGGCCTTTATTTTACCTGGCGGGTTACATCAGCACAAGCTGTTTTTCAGAACCAACCAGGGCTAAAAAAAAAAAAAAATCAAGTACATGCAAATACAACAAAAATACATTGAAGATAACATTTAAAGCAGAAAAAAAAATTTTTTTTTTACAGAATCGTAGCATGGTATAATGACCAAAAGACCAAAAGAGAAACGTGCAGCAACAGAGTACGTAGCAGAATCAAAAACCGTGATTAGAAGTAACTTTAAAAAAGAAAATGTTAGGTGTATGGCAGAAGATATAAAAATTAAAAGTAAACAGTAACAAATGTGTAAGCAAAACACAAACAAATGAAAAGTGACGAGTGAGAAAACATGCACAAATAAACAAATATAAAAACAAAATTACGTAAAAATACATGCTAGATGAAATCAAAAAAAAAAAAAATACATGCTACATGTCATCAAAGACAAAGAGCCTAACTTTTCTTTTAAAGCTGGACACAGACAAAGTTTTCAAAGCTTGAGGTACTTTATTGTAGAAATCGGGCGCCACATATGAAAAGCTCTTTCTGAATTGGGTTGTAGATGTAGTCCCTCAGATAAAGGGTGTCAAGGTCTCTGTGAACGGTCTTATTGGAGAAGCCATGGGGCGTTGGTGATTGTATTCAAGATTCTGTTCCGCAAAAGCAGTTTTTCCAGAAAAGTCAAGCAGCATTTTCGTAAGTGATTGCTGATCTAAAACCGTCTTGTATAGATGAACTTTGTTGATCAAACTCATTTTGAGATTCTACGTAGCAAAGGGTAGTGTTGCCCAAAACATGATTTGGAATTTAGTTTTTAACGCTTCAGTGCGATTCTGCCAGGTCCTCCCCTTGCCAAGATAAACACCGTGACAATAAGCAGAACTTTCGATGGCACCCGAGCTCCATTCACTGAATTATTTCGAATTATTAATTTTGATCAGCCGCTGATCTGCCCATTCCAATACCTCGTCCACCGCACTTTGCAGCCTGTCTTGAACTAGACTCTCAGAACACGACTGGGCCACCAGGGCAGTGTCATTAACATAGAGATAGAAAGAAGCAACCTGTCATGACTGTGGTCATACGAACTCCAACCACATTTATTCGCTGTCGCTATCAAAAATCACGGAGGGCTCAAGAATTTGTTATTTTTGTTGCATTAAAAACTCTCCGATGGCTGCTACTGAGATGTCTTTTAGTAAAGTTCTATAGCCGTCAGACTTAGATTCTCCATCAAATATATGTCCAACAAAGTCTCGCACGATGTCCTTCGGTGGTGGCGATGCGCGGCGTTGCTTCCTGCGTACCGCAACGCCGCCAACGACGGGCGTCGCGTCGTTGGCACGGCGTCGGTAGTGAAAACGCGACGTCCTGCAGAGACGCCGCGCCGATCGGCCTCCTGCTTCCTGCGAACACGCGCGCGATCCCGACACGCGAACCGGCAGGAATTCCCGCCGCGCCACGATCGGCAGCAGGAAGCCACGCGGCTACGAAGGTGAAAGTTGCTAGTTCAAGGTAGAAAATAAAGTGTATGTGGTTGCTGGACAAATGTGTTGTTGAATTCGGTAGCAGGATTACGTGCTAAATGGTCTGTTGCGAATGACGGGATCATGTGAGAGTTGGTTATTGCGGATTTTTTCAGACGGCAAAAAATACTTACCAACTGACACAGTAAAGAAAATTGCACTTCTAAAGTAAAAGCTTTGACGATGTCGCATGTTGCTAAACACATTTCAAATCCGTCATACCTAAACCGATGCTCACAATTTGTATTTCAACGAAATTAATCTATTGCTGGCATATCACGCAGGGAGGCTTCGCCTTGCTAAAATAATGCCTGTTATGGTCGATAAGCTGAAGCAACATTATTTATTTGGCGATTTAATCAAATGAACCTCTGATAAGCTGTCAGAAGCTTAAATATGAAAATATTAGTCTTTTTAATAACCAAGGATTGACTATTTCACCTTTATATACATTTTAAGAATCAGAATCGAAAGCTCTACACAAATAATTATGTTGTGTAGGAGAAAAAAATAGAGTTGATGGTTGAGGACAAGATGTTATTGGACATCGTAGAGGAGAGAAAGTGGCAAAGGTACTGTGCGATTTATTTTTAAATCCCACCTCATCTAAATTGAGGAAAAAAACAACTTAGGGAAAATTTAGTTTGTTTATCTATCTCCAGAAATACTGAAATTGCGAAACTGACTTAGGCACCATTTTTTTACTTTCCTGAATGCGAAACTTTGTCCCGACTTGATGGACTTTATAATATCTCTTAGTGTTTCCGAGATCTCAATGGACACAATCGCTTATGTTGTTTATTACTTCCTACGCCACTGGACAAGAAAGTGTTGTTATTGCAAACAATTTAGAAAGCGAGATATCTCTTTGGATGTTATATGACATGTATTTTGACATAATTTTCATACAAGTACGAAAAGCTTTGTAGCTGTTGAAATTCGGTCCAGGGTGGCTACGAAGCTAGGAGCGAAGACACGAAAAAAAATTGCTCAAACTTCGTTTTTTTGACATTTCAGAAGCTCCTGATCATTTTCAGGAAAACATTTTGTAGCGGTTAAAAATTGGCGGTTGGGGCTTGCAAGGGATAAGGGACGGTTTATCTCAATTTTTGCCTTGCGCCATGGGGTTGCTTAAATACCAACGGTACTACAGAGAGAACAAAGTTTCCTTACGTGTAAATGGTCATGCAGAATTCAATGAATTGGTGGAGCATGAAGGAGTAAGGTCTCCTCTATCTGTTGGTATGTTACTCTCCGATCTTCGTCAGGCATTTTCCTCATAGCAGTAATGTCTTTCTCTGTTACTGACTTTCACGGCCTTCCTTCCCTCCCAGCGTCCTACAGTGTGAAATTGTCACTTTGAAATTCTCTGTACCACCTGAGTATAGTCGTACGATGAGGACCATCATTCTTTAATGCAAGCGTCATTTCTTCTAAACACTGGTCTATGCTTGAATCACGCGTAAAACAGTAAATCGACAGACGTGCTGCTGGCTGCTACTATGCACTCATGGACATGTCTCAACATGCAGTAACATGCAACCTCGTGCGTCCTTTGTTAAGTCATATTGCAAAACCACTATAGTATCTTTTGTATATTGCATCTTTAGTACTCGATCCGAGTGACATATAAAGGCAGGTAAAATAGCAAACGGCACAGCGACATACGAGGTGAGCGTGATAATATATATATATATATATATATATATATATATAATATATTTATATTGAATGCTATGCTTAGAGTGTAATTCAATGAGGTTATTTGATTTCGTGACATGATATTAAATAGTACAGTATACGTCAAGAGCTGTAATAATCAAAGATTATTGACAAGCAATGTCGTAACTAACTTTTTTCTGAAAGGGTCTAAATTGTGCTGAACATAATTCCTGCAGAGTCAGCCCACTTGACGCCATTTTTTCCGATATCTGTGGTCCTACCGATATCTTCTCATCATTGCAACATCTGAATAGTCAATGCTACACTCTTGAATATTTTTCCAGATCTACTCAAAAAGTCCATCCCGGAAAATCATATTGTATTTTAATTACTAACAAGCATTAAAATTCATGAAAATAATCGAGAACTCGATGCTCAGATAAACAAAAAATAATTTTACAAGTACCTTTCCCTGTAAATCTGATTAATTCTGAACATGTACATACACAACTGCTATTTGTATTCGGCCAGAAGCGTTATTTACAAAACATTTTATATACCAAAATTATATACTCAGCCCAGCCAAAAAATAAACATTGAAAATGGAAGCTTCAAATTAATATTTACGTCGACAGCAAAAATAAACTGATGATTATTTACTTAGCCCCATTCGTCAGATTTAACATAATAAATGGATAAATGTTCAGGATTAGCGAAGTCGCATGGTATTGGACATTTTCCAGGTAAATGGTTATATTGATGGTATGCAAATAGCCTATACAGTGAGATTTAAAATTCAGAATAATGGATGAAGTTTGAAACTCATCCAGCCTTTGTTCCTAGGGAATCGAGAGTGTGGAGCAATCTACATGACGAGTCTTTTCCCAGTTCTAGTAATGTTAGGAAGTTCAAACATCGGATAAACAAAGTTTCTTTAAGCTCCTCATAACAGCCGCGGTGAAAGCGTTTTGAGGAAATCTCCTCAGCTCATTACCAAGATATATGTTATTAAAATTGCATTACCAAAATCACATTACACGTTACAAACAACAGAAGCAATCTCACAGCTTAAAGTAGGCTGAGCTAACACAAAAATCGAACTAGTATAATAGTCCATAACTTTTAGTCTGAAATGTGAGCCAAATTGATTCCAATAGTTAGCAGTTTAAAAATATAAAATCGCGACCTCGAAATCTCTACAAAGACATGTGATAACCGTTGTATTTGCCACGGCCAAGACAGTAGTTATTTCAGTTCCAAGTAAAATATACTTTAAGTTTGTTTATTTGCCGTTCTTTATTACAATATTAGCGCTACGACCTAAAAGTAGGTGGTGTCAGTACTAGGACGCTATTCTTTTCTTTCTGTGGTTTAGTTCTTATCTTCATTAACTTCTTCATTTACTTTTATCGTTTAGTTCTGATACTTATCTTAGTACTTGGTGACTAATACAAGCAGAGATTCAAAAGTTTGACGCTCACCAAGATCCTTAGTCATCCGGCTTTTTCTACACCACGTCCACGCTTGATACAATAATTTATAATCTCCATACTTTCCTTCATGTACTCTCAAAATTTCCAAAATGAGATATTATGTTTTCGCTGTTAGATGATTATATGACATACATCACGAAAAACCACTATTTTCGTTGATCTGTCTATGTCTTTCTGTCGGTCTGCCTGTTTGTCTGTCCGCTAATCCTTGGCCCGACTTTAGCTGAGGATTTGAATGAAAGTTTCACACAAGGTCGCTACTATGCGAAGGACGGAAAGGTTGAGCAGTTTTTGAAACTTGGTTCAGTGGCGGCAGAGCTAGGGTAAAAATACGAAAAGATATGAGGTGTTGGGGATTATAAGGGGTAGGGGAGGGTATACCTCAATATTTTGATGTTACTATATTGATGCGCTCTTAACCTTGGTAATTCTATGCATCTATTAGCCATATTATTAGAATGATAGAGACATGTTCTCGATATGCGTCTGCTTCTGTTGTTTGGGTTCACCGGCGAGCGTGCCGATCTGGTTGATAACGATGCCTAGGTACATGTTCGTAAATAACTTTTTTCGCAGAGGGTTTCAGTTGTACTGAACTGAATCCTTTATGAACTGATGGCAGAGTTGCATAGTAAGTGCAGAGTCAACCTACTTGACGACATTTTTTCTTAGAGGGGCTTAATTTGTGCTGAACATAAGCTTTTATGAACTGATGGCGTTGCGTGGAAAGTGCAGAGTCAACCCACACGACACCATTTTTTTCTTCCCCATTGTGTGGTTTGTGCCATTTTTTCCGGTTTGTGGGCGACTGGGACAACAGATCTGTTACAGAACTTTTCTTTTTTTGTTTTTAACAAAGTTTGGTACCATCCAAGCTGACAATCATCTTGAATTATCACTAGCAGTTTGCGATATTACCTCAACTCAACCTGTCTTTTCAGGTAATAATTACTTTTGCCGCTCCAAGGAAGCCTTATTACCTGTCATCCCCGAATTTTCCGAGAGATAACACCGATAATTGGCTTTCCTGCTACTTCCACTCTTGCTGCTGCATGAATGATCTTGCCCCCCTCTTTAGGGAAATTTCCTCGACACTTGATATAAACTCTAGGAATAATAATACGGGAAGCTCGGAAAGAGACTGGATAGAAATGAATGAGTTGGAATCCAAACCAAAATGCTAGCTATGAGACTTCTTCTTTTGGAAATGCCATTTCTGTTGACATAATCTGGGGGAATATACGGTAATTGGGTTTTCAGTGTCAACTAAGAATAATAGCTTATTTTTTTTCAAATTCAACATCATCGTTAATAATACTTTTTTTCAAGACAAATAATATTATATATCTAATAACAAAACGTGGAGAGTAGAAAAAGAAGTGTCACAAATTTTTGTTAAGTTTCAAGTATATTGTTTCTAGATGATAAATTTTACCTTAATTTCATCATATGTTCCAAATAAAGCACGGTATTTTGTGTTTTGGATGGATTATTTCCACAATCTGTCGATTTGCTTAAGATTTTTTTTGATAGTAGTAGTAGACATTTATTTACTCCATTATGTAAGAACAATAACAAAATAGAATCGGTATATAAATGTTTCAATCCATAGAAGGACAGTGCCAGTTCATGGATCAGTCGTATGTTGCAATGTGTTCCAAAAGAAAACAAAAAAGTTAAAAGAAACTTAAAGAATAAAATTATATCAAAGAGATGTGCATGTAGAGGAGATGATAATTTTTAAGGAATATTTGATAGGAATTCAATGTGTTAACTTCCTATTGCGCGTATCCATTCTGATAATTTCTTTTTAAAATTATTATACCATACCTTAGGTGCGGCTCAATTAAGGCATGATGTGAGGAATTTAATTTTGTATATAACAAATATTTTCTTCAAAATATAGGCTGCATGAATGTTCCACCTTAAAT